GAAATCAGAGTTAACGTTTCAGGTCGAGTGACTGGGGTTTGAGGAAGGGTCACTCGACTCGACACGTTAACTCTGATTTCTCTCCACAGATGCTGCCAGACCTGCTGAGCTTCTCCAGCAACTTCTACTTTTGTCTCTGATTTACAGCATCTGCAGTTCTTTTGGTTTTTATTTAGCAAACTGGAAGACTCGTTAAAGATGTATTTTACAGTTTAAGAAAGGTTTGAGTGAAACCTTTCAGAAATCAGTGCTTGCACAGCTTCTGTTCATCTAATGAAAAACATAGAGTACCAAAACCAACAATAACCTGAGTGTATTTGCCAATAGCTTATCGGGGAGAAGAGCTGGGAGAGAAAATATACCAAAAAGATCAGCAGAAACATTTAGACTGTCAATGGGCGAGCAATTGGCAATATAAGGTACTGAACATAGAATTTTTTTTGCTCATTTGCGGGATGTGGGCATCACTGGCTGGCTTGAGAAGATGGTGGTGAGCTGCCTTCTTGAACCACTGCAGTCCATGTGCTGTAGGTTGACCTACAATGGCATTAGGAAGGGAATTCCAGGATTTTGACTCAGTGGCAGTGAAGGAACGGCAATCTATTTCGAAGTCAAAATGGTGAGTGGCTTAGAGGGGAACTTGCGGGTGGTGGTGTTCCCATGTATCTGCTGCCCTTGTCCTTCTGGATAGAAGTTGTCATGGTTTTGAAAGGCGCTGAAATGGCTATAAGACGGCAATGAATAGAATTAAACTAAAGCAGCAGGAGTTAGAAAGAAGTAAAACAATAATAACTGGTGTGCTACTTTCTGTGTCTGACAATTTAGTACATTTAATTGTAAATCGCTAAAAGAATCTTTTAAAAAGAGCAAACAGATCCTTGGCTTTTTAATAAAGGCATAAGGCAGTATCTTTTGTTGGAGGTTTTTTCTCACTGGCTAGAGAGCTGGGGTGAGGCCTGTATCGCCAGGAAAGGCCCGACAGATTAGTGCCAAGTAGCATAGTGACAGGCTCCTCCAAGGATCAATGACCCAGGGGAAGAAATCCCACCCCTTCAAGCACTGCTGGCCAATAATAGTTTTAACAGGAGTGTGATTCACCCATGGGAGAGGTTCAGGATTGCTGAGGGATCCCAGATAGAAGGTGCATGGAGTTCATTGGGCGGGTGTTGCAGGACAGGTGGCTCAGCACCAATGGAAGGAGTATGGCTCTCAGTAACCTATCCCACTCCCCAAAGATGGGTCCATGAATCAAACCCTGAGTAACATGAAAAGGAGAACCTATAACATCAGTGGCCCTGCACTCCCACCTCCTTTCAAGTACCCCATTTACCAACATTTGAATATCGCGGCAGTGAAATGAGACTCTTATGGATATTAATTGCACGTAAATAAAAATGTGATTTCCCCTTAGCACAAAGCAGCTTCAATGCCTTGTCTTTCAGATAGGACATTAAACCAAGCCCCTACCTGACCTCCCAGGTGAATGTCTATGATCTGAGGACACAATTAAAAGAGTGGGGAATTTCTTCCACATGTCTTGGCCAATATTTATGCTTGAATCAACATCACAAAATTAAAGTATCTGATCATTATCACATTGCAGTTTGTGGGACATTGCTATGTACAAACTACCTTCTGTATTTCTTACATTACAAGCTTGACATCAGTGAAAATGTCTGTAAAGCACTTTTGCACAGCTTGAGATGTGAAAGGTGCTGTATAAATGGATGTTCTTTCTTTCTTTATGTCAGATATTATCAATCCTCATGCCCACTCCACAATCCCCACTCAAAATTTTACTAGCCTCTACATTCTCAGCACACGCCTGATCATTATTGGAAACACTGCATTATTAAACGAGGGAAGCTCAGAAAATGCCTGTGCCCACAGGATAAAATGCAGCTGGCACTTCATGTCACACTGCGCACCAAGTGGAAAGTCAATCCAGTACAACCAACTCACCTCCAAGCTCAATGTATGCCCTGTACTCAAGTTGTGAAAGCAAATAAAACAGGAAGATTGATCTTGGGAAATGTCATAAATTCTGCACTTCCAGTTGTTAATGCCAGACTTGTAAAATTAGAGTTCAAGTTTAAATTGTGCAGTCCAGAAAGAAGGTCTGAACCAGCCACAAGGATAGAATGGTCTGAAAAGAAATATTCCAAATGACTACCTTTAAATAAACCAGGAAATAGTACCAGATGATATGAATTAAAGTTGATGAAAAGAAAATTTACAGCAGGTATCAAGAATGTGCCACGAGGATAGGCTTCAATGCTCTAGTTTATTTCCTCCATGTGCTTCTCTTATACAACCTGGCCTCTTTCAAACACCAAAACTAAGGCACAGTTCTATGGTTTAGTTTGGCAGGTTGTTAGTCCTGGAGTACCACTAGGATCAGCACAGAGCCCTCAGCTATTTACAATCTATTTGGTAAGTGGACCAAAAGTAATGTGTTCAAATTTGTGGAGAATATACAATAGGGTGGGAGAGAACCGTATATCTGTGCATTTTAATTCTTATGACCTGGCATAAGTTTCAACATAATTTAATCATAAACTCTAATTTTACATGTCTCACAATAGAACTGGGATAGCAGAATTTATTACACTTCCCAAGATGAGTCACTCCCTTTCATTTACTTACACTCCTTGATCATAGGCCATACTATTAGGCCTGGAGGCTGGTTACACAGCATGCCTGTCGTCGCACCCACATGTTCCCATGGAAACCATTTTCTGGAAGAGAATTCAAAGTTTCTACAACCTTTTCCATGAAAAAAGTCATTTTTAATTTACTTCCCAAAAGGTCCCACCTTAATTTTTTGATTGTGTCCTAGTCCTAGAAGGTGACAGGTAGAATACAAGAGGGTGAAATTTCAGATTATACACTTCAATTGAAAAAGTTCAAAATATACATAGTAAATAATGAAAAATCATTTAAGTGTTCAGGGAGATTTGGGTCTCCTAGCAGACAAAACCCAGTATATTAAAATGATTAGGAAGTCAAAGGTAATGTTGATCTTATTGCAAGTGAGTTGAAGTACAAGAGTAAGGTAGAATGGGCTGCTAATGTAAAGTGTTTTGGTGAGACAACAGCTGTGTACAGCTCTAGTATCTGTATCAAAGGAAGAATATACCTTGCCTTAGAGCTGGTGTGACTGAACCATAATGAATTGATTGCTGAGGTGAAAGGATTACTCTATGAGCAAAGGGTTTATAATCTCTGGAGTTTAGAAGAACCATAGCTAGTCTTATTGAAACATTCAAGATTAGGACAGGTTTTGACATGGCAGAAGCTGAAATGCTGTTTCCCTGACTAAGAAGTCCAGCCACTAGTGTGGGTAACGGATAGGGTGGAATCTTCCCAGCTCCCGAAAAATGTGGATCAGGGTGAGAAAGTTGGGAAAATCAGGTGAGAAATTCAGCAAGGAGCTTCTCAACAGCCAAATCAAAATGTTCAAATTCCCAAGCAAGTGGAATGATGTGACAAGATTCTCACTAATGAGCAGCAAGAGACCTACTTGCATGCATTATCTTACGTTAACCCCTCATTATTCATTAATCTCACCTCAGCATTTTGCAGTTTGCCATTCTCCCACCCAAAACCACACAGCAACAATTCATGACATGAAAATTGGAGCAGTTACTTGACGGCTCCACTTCACTGCTTGACCCTCTGTATCTCCATCTTGGACAATCAGTCCCAAAATTTCAGGGCACATTCCACAGGCTGTGCCTTCATGCATTCCATATCCATGGACATTGCAATCTGGTACATATCAATCTCACTGTACCCTCAAGGCACATCTCTGATCCACTTGCAATACTGTTCTGCACTTCAACCCTGCACTTTGGAGCACACCAGCACCTTTCACTGCACTGCTGGGACGTTTACCACGTAGGAACTCGAACCCAGCTCATGGGTTGAACCAGGGGATAGCTCAGGGCTGCTGACTTGCCTCCCTAGCACACACTCACTTTGTGCCTTCATCAATGAATATTGCAGTTCTGCATTGCTTTGCCTTGACCTTTTGGCACTCTGCCCCCTCAACCATATATTAAAGGCCCATAGTAC